AATAATTTGATTCAATTAAATAATTAGAATTTTAGAATGTGGATGTTTATGTCCATTATACTATATTAATTATATCAAATAAATCATTAAGCTCTTATTTGACTTAATAAAATATAAAAATAAAAATCATTATTTTAATTCCTTTAATAAATCAGTTGTTGGCTGAAATAAAGTGTTTAATTTTATTATCATGTTATTTTACTTCTTGCCTTAATTTCTCTAATATACTATTCTTACAATAATAAATCTCATTTCTAACACTGTTTTAGTCATTAGAATTCTGAACCCTTAAAATCTTTGTAATTTTCTAAAGTTGAAACTTCTTAATCTTTGTATTCCATTTCTGGATCTGCCAAAAGAAGCCCAAAATTATTTTAGACTTTTTTAGTATTTTTCTTTAGTGTAAGTCTCTATATTGTTTCTTTAAGCTAAGACCTCTATTAGTTTATTCTATATCTCCTTTCTAACATATTTTTATAGTCCCTACTTTTCTTTGGATTTTGAGGTAATGTGATTATCTTATTAAATTCTTAAAATTAAATTTTATAACTAATATTTCTAAATCTAAGATGATTTTGAAAAAATTTATAACAAATAGAGTCTAAATTAAAAATTAACTAAGGTTTATTATTCCATTGAGTTTGCCTCAAAATTGAGCCCCTTTCAGCATCTCTTTTAGCTCTAAATTTGAGATATTTCACTATATTAGTTTCGTTTAATACTAGTAATCCTTTTTGTTAAGAAATTTATATAAAATGTTTCTAATCTGATGATATAAATGAAAGGTAAAAATGCTAAAAACATGTATATTGGATGAATTTGTTGATATTCTCGAACTTTATAATACTTTATTCTTTTATAACTTTAACGATTAACTTTTTATCTTTACATATTAATTATTACAATAATAAGCGTTTTTATTTTATCTAAAATAGGATTTATGATAAAAAAAAATAACTTATTAAGAAAAAATTCTTAAATAATTAACGTTATTAACTCATTCTTATTTTGACACTTTAAGATCATTAATGATAACAACTTGAAAATGGCAGACTATTTATTATTGAATTCAATCTCAGACTTTTACCAAGAATTACCTATAATTTTTGTTTTCGAAGGGATATTTTCAAATTTAACGTTAGGTTGATTACACATCATAATCTTAATCTCATTAAGTGTGTTCACATTGATATTCTTTTGAAATAGTTTAAATGCCATATTTAACCTAGCACATAGCATATTTTTGCAAGATATTTGCCCTTCTATACTATATTAACATATAATCAGATCATTATCGAATATTGTACTTTTTTTTATTTGTAAAGATGTAATAAAAATGAGAATAATTGATAATCAAATTAGTATAGATACCAATCTTTATAAATTACAAGTCTCATAGAATCAATTCAAGTTTGACAGCACTCTTGATCTCTTGTTATTATTTCTTGTCTTTATTTTAAACTATTGATTCTATTAAAAATCAAAAGGATATTTGTAATCTTCAATTATTTTTAAATGGCTTTACTACCTTAAAGTTATTTAACTTTGCAATTAATCATTTAATAACAAATTTCACAACAAATATTTGACTAAGATAATGATTGAAACAAAAAAAAATAATTATTACCTTGCTTTTGTGTATATTCTGATATGATCTACTGATTTTTACAAATTTGAAAAGGTTCTATCTGAAATAAGCAGGTTTTGATTCCCATTAAATAAATAGTTTTTGAAATTTAAATTTATGACATGAAAATAATGCCTCTTTATTAAAATTCAGCACTTCAAAATAAGTATTCAGAAAGTAAATTTATAGAAGGAATATAATAAAATTTCATTCTAGATTTTACCATCCATTAATCATTTTATAACATTCAAATATAATATCATTCCTTTATATTCAAATAATTATTTAATTTGAATACTTTGCAGGTTTTAATTAAATGGTCTACCATTATTTCAGTCTTTTTCTATTCAAATCACTTAATTATATATGAAAAAGTGTTGATATTTGTTTATTTAATATCCTGGTAATGAATTGTAATGTGAAAATATTGATAAATGAAATGTTTTTTTTTCGGTCAAATTTTACTTTTCTTAACATGTCAATGCAAAAAACAAGTATTTTAAGAAAATCGAACTCTAAAAGTCTAAATCTCTTTTCGATAAATATGAAATTATGGCTTCATATATTTTAAGTACATTTTGACCACATTTTTAAACTTTAATATATCTTTATTATTTTTAGGAAACAAGGAATTTTCAAAAATACCTAACCTCAATCAATTTAAAACCATTATATTGGAAATGTGAACATCATTCCAATTAACCAAATCTGATAAATAAGAATAAATAAACGAATTAAAATATTCATTTTAGATATCGGTAATAAAAAGAAAAATATATTTGCCTGGCAGTTAGATTTATCTAGAATTATCAAATTTTAAAAAGCTTTTTTTTGATGAAATAATTTGGATATCAATTTAATAAAAATCAATCTTTTAATTAAATAGCAATTTTTAAGGAGTAATAAATATTTTTAGAATGATAATACTCATATATAATAACAATGCCTGGTTGAGTCTCACAAATAATTTAATTTCAATTTTTTTGCATACATCACTATTTATATTTATTATTTTTTCTTATTTTATTTAAGATTACTTTAAAAATAAAAGAATTTTCAATATTATTTTTAAAGAATTTAAATCAATGATAACAATTGAAATAAATTAAGTTAAAAAAGGAAAGAAAATTGGAGATGGAAGCTTTGGATCAGTTTTTATAGGGGAAATTGAAGAAGGAAAATAAAAAGGTATATAAGCGCTGAAAGAATAATTCAAAATTAGTGATCATGAAAAAATGATTTTAAAGGCTCTGAAAGATAAGCAATTTCAACATTTAATTAAAGTGATTGCTTTTGAAGAGTAAGAAGATAGAATTTTCACTCTTATGGAACTAGGAGAAATTATTAATTTTTCAAACCTGTTAGATAAAAGAACGATTTGTTTGCAAGTAAAAGATATTTAATATTTAGATGGCAAAAGGTGTTTCTGAATTACATAAATTAGGATTTTTTCATCGAGATTTAAAACCCAATAATTTTGTAATTGGTCTTGATAATAAAATCAAATTGATAGATTTTGGAACCACTAAAACTATTTAGTATACATCTCATACCCAAAATGAAGGAACTTTATCATACATGGCACCAGAAGTAAGTATAACAGATGATTATGATTCCTCTGTTGACATATGGTCTTTGGGAATCATTTTTTATGAATTGTTAACAAATTCAACATTTTTCGAAAAAGGTAAATCTGAATATGAAATATGTTATGAAAGGGTTTAAATTTCGCAAAAATAAATTAATTTATAAATAGATGCACAAAAAAGTTTAGAGTAATGGCAAAAGGCATTGTTGAAAAAAATGATTGTTCAAAAGTTAGAAAATGATAACTTATTGAATCACTCTATAAAAAGAATAAATATTGACGAAGTAATTAATGAGTTTGAGTAATCAAAAAACTTTTAATAAACTTAATAAAAAGTTTATTAGTAGAAAAATGATTTGGATAATGAGACTTAATTTTAAAATTCTAAATGGACAGATTTAAGAATAAATTAATTGCATAAATTAGAAATTCATAGTTAATGGATTTCATCATTATGCTTCTCTCCTGATGGTACTACATTGGCATCAGGTAGTGGAGATAACATTATCAATTTATGGGATGTTAAGACTGCAAAGGTAAAATCAAAATTAGAAGGTCACAGAGATTGGGTTACATCATTATGCTTCTCTCCTGATGGTACAACATTAGCATCAGGTAGTGGAGATAACACCATCCGTTTATGGGATGTTAAGACAGAAAAATTAAATTAAGAATTATCTGGCCATAGGTATGATGTAAATTCTATTTGTTTTTCTCCTGATGGTTCTACATTAGCATCAGGTAGTGATGATAAGTCTATCAGTTTATGGGATGTTAAAACAGGAAAAGAAAAATATAAAATATAAGGTCATAGTGAAGGAGTTCTATCAGTATGCTTCTCTCCTGATGGTACAACATTAGCCTCCAGTAGTTATGACAAATCTATCCGGTTGTGGGATATTTTAACAGGATAATAAAAAGGCAAACTAGATGGTCATGAAGGAACTGTATATTCAGTGCGTTTCTCTCCTGATGGTTCTACATTAGCATCTGGTAGTGAAGATGAGTCTATTCGTTTGTGGGATGTTTAAAAATAATAAGAGATATAAAAATTAATTGGTTAGAATGGAATTATTTTTTGTTTATGCTTTTCTTCTGATGGTAGAATTTTAGTTTCTGGTGGTGAGAATAAGACGATAATTTTTTGGGATATTACAAAAAAGTAATTAAAATAGAAAATAGATGCCCATTAAGGAATTGTATATGCTTTAAGTTTTTCTTTTGATAATGGAAAATTGGCAACTGGGAGTGATGATAAGTCTATTGGTATATATCATGTTGAAAAAGGGGTCGAAAAATCATGTACAAATCCTTATACTCAAGATAAAAATTTTAAATTGTTTTCTTCTGAATTTATTAAATTAGCATCATGTAGTGATGATAACATTATCGATTAAGAGGATATTAAGCAAAATAGAAATAAATCTAAATTTGGTGGTTTTAAAAAGAAAATCATTGTTATCTACTTATGTAGTGATTGTATAACAAATGTAATAAACAGTAATTATAAGAAAATTAAAAAAAAATATAAATTAAATGTTTTAACAAAGAAAATCAATTCTATCTACTTATGTAGTGATTGTATAACAAATGTAATAAACAGTAATTATAAGAAAATTAAAAAAAAATATAAATTAAATGTTTTAACAAAGAAAATCAATTCTATCTACTTATGTAGTGATTGTATAACAAATGTAATAAACAGTAATTATAAGAAAATTAAAAAAAAATATAAATTAAATGTTTTAACAAAGAAAATCAATTCTATCTACTTATGTAGTGATTGTATAACAAATGTAATAAACAGTAATTATAAGAAAATTAAAAAAAAATATAAATTAAATGTTTTAACAAAGAAAATCAATTCTATCTACTTATGTAGTGATTGTATAACAAATGTAATAAACAGTAATTATAAGAAAATTAAAAAAAAATATAAATTAAATGTTTTAACAAAGAAAATCAATTCTATCTACTTATGTAGTGATTGTATAACAAATGTAATAAACAGTAATTATAAGAAAATTAAAAAAAAATATAAATTAAATGTTTTAACAAAGAAAATCAATTCTATCTACTTATGTAGTGATTGTATAACAAATGTAATAAACAGTAATTATAAGAAAATTAAAAAAAAATATAAATTAAATGTTTTAACAAAGAAAATCAATTCTATCTACTTATGTAGTGATTGTATAACAAATGTAATAAACAGTAATTATAAGAAAATTAAAAAAAAATATAAATTAAATGTTTTAACAAAGAAAATCAATTCTATCTACTTATGTAGTGATTGTATAACAAATGTAATAAACAGTAATTATAAGAAAATTAAAAAAAAATATAAATTAAATGTTTTAACAAAGAAAATCAATTCTATCTACTTATGTAGTGATTGTATAACAAATGTAATAAACAGTAATTATAAGAAAATTAAAAAAAAATATAAATTAAATGCTTTAACAAAGAAAATCATTGTTATCTGCTTATGTGGTGATTAAACAATATAATCCACTAGTAATAAAATTTAATTAATTTATTTATATGATTTTACTAAAAAATCATACAAAGTTAGCATTATTAATAGTTTCAAATCTATATACTTCACTCCTGTTTTTTTTTATATAAAGAATTTTATCTCAATCATAATTAATTAGGCAATTAGTTAATTAACCAAAATTTGATTTATTAACAATTAAATAAAGAGTAAATTAAATTAAAAAAAATTAAATAGAGATTTAGTAATATTTAAATTGATAATATTAAGAATAGTATACATTTTAACAGTATAAATTATTTCTGTATTTTACTAAAAATTTCATAATATTTTTAATTTTCTTTAATTTGAAATGATTAATAATTTTCATTCATTAGAAGCCATGACTTCAATCACTAAATTGAGCGCTTAGGATAAAATTATGACTGACTGTTTGAGTACTAACAAAATTTTGTTATTTTATCTGATTATTTGGACAGTTTATCAATTAAATTTTTGATAGTTTAACAAATTATCTACTTAGCTTCAATAATTTAATAACTAGACCACAGAAAAAGAGATAACTTAACTTTGGCAAGTTGAAATAATTAATAATAAAATTTACGATTAAATTAATAAACGATTAAATCATTATAAAATAATTTGTCTAACTAATTTAAATTCTATTTAGTATTTTTGTTTTATCTGATTGTAAATATTTATTATTTAACTAATTTTAATATACAAATGATGATCATTGTCTAAAAATTCTTGAAACTAATTAATTAATATCATCTCAGAATGTTGTAAATTATAGGGCATTGTTAAAAAAAAGATTTTTGGATATAAGGCAAAAAAAAAGAAATAGTTAAATTGTAGATAGAACCACTCTGAAGAATTACTTTTAACACCAAAAAATTCCTTATATATTAAATTTAGTAAAGAAAAAATCATGACTACAATTTCCTAGTTTACTTAAAATTAGTTTCTTCTATTAATTAATTAATTATCTATAAAAAAATTTAAATTATAATTTTATTATATTGTATATATATATATGATATTAACATAATTGATCAAATAATTTTATATAATTATAATTTATAGAAACATATTTATTGTATGAATTTTTAAACTTTATAAATTCTGGGATTTTATTACTAAATATATATTTTTCCAGATAACCTACAACTTATAAATCAAATAAACACATCTACGACCACATCAATATATATTAAATTTACCTCAATTAACTTATGATTTTTAAATCCTTAAAGATTAACCAAAACTATAATGTATTAACGAAAATAAAACCCGAGTATTGTATATTGAAATATTAGAATGTAAGAATGTAAGTTTAGATCTTACAAGATTAGCATTCTGGTTTATGAGATGCATTTAATAAGTATTATATTGAAAATAAAATAACTATAATTTATAAATCATAATACTCATAATTCTCTACACTTTCTTATTTATATTTCTTTTGATCCATCATCCCAAGTGATCAAATACTCTCCGTCATTACTTAATTATCCATAAATATGAAAGTTACCAATTTTAATAGATTATTAAACTTTAAAGTCACCATTTTCTGTCTTTCTCATTAAATTAATATAATTGCCATTCTTATTCACTAGGAGGCATTTTGATTTTAAGTATTATTATGGAAAAAAACAATTATCAACACTTGAACCGGACTTTACCGCAATTTCCTTAGTCTTTCTATACTATTTAGTATTATTATCCATCTCATATACATGCATTTATTATTTACAATAGGGTTAAAATGTAAATTAATTATCATTAATCTAACATAATCTATATCCCCATGTATCTAATTTTATCTATTATTTAACAATCCATTTTTTATCCATATTTTATTATTCGATTACTAGTATTTGGTAATCAAATGAACAAGATATCAATTTATTTTATTCTTCATTTAAACTTATTGAATATACCTAATTAGTATGATCAGTTATGGTTTGTTAACACAACCATTAATCCTATTTCACCCAAATTTTTATTGTTTTATCTGCACTACCTGAAATAATTAGATCATCAGTATTATTTAATAATAAACAAAATATCGCTAATGAATGTCCATTCAATTTTTACTAACTTTACCATTAATTATTTCCAATCGCCTACCATATTATTATTGAACTATCATCACTTCCAGATACAAAATTATTTATATTTTTCAAGAAATTTAATGAATAAACATTACTAGTATGCTCACTTAACAATTATATTTAATTCAGTTTTCCTTAATTATTTTAAAATACTTTGATATCTTTTTTACATCCAGTTATCACGATTGAGTAATCCTTGTTAAAAGCAATAGCATTACACGATTCATTTTACTTAATTATATTTTATTTCATGAAGTCAAAGGTGAATAGTTTTACATTTGGTTCTAATATACTTTGATTGTTCGTTTATTCTAAAGTTGATTTATCTATATTAAATTGTGGAATTTATAAGTTACCATTTTAATTTTAATTTGTTTAACTCTTTAATTTTTTAAGTATTTGATTTACAATGGATTTGGTTTATTCGATTGATTGTTAAAGTTATTTAAATAATTCTTCTTCGCAATCTGCCATTTAACATAAACCTGTTATTAATTAATCAATCTGTGATAATTCTAATTCTGATAATTATTAAATATTAAAGTTATTAAAAGGAAGGAATAAATTTATAAGACTATCAAGGGCAAATTTAAATTCTTAAACATTATTTTTTAAATATTTTAACATAAGAATTCTTTCCTTAACCCATTAATATAACAATTCTTAAGATATCAACTTATTAAGATGTAAATTATGGCTAGGCAAGCAAACCTTACAATAATGTCTTTAATTTGGACATTTACTATCTATGCAAAAACCTGTTATTTATTGATTTTGATGATCAGCTGAAATACATCTAATCTACATTATCTATTTTAATTAAAATTTATATTTCATATTTCATAATTATTTTTGCTTAAATATATTAAATTCTTTAAAAAACTTATGTAATATAAATTTAGAAATATCTAAAATGAAATTTTATTTATAACGAAAGAGTTTGTATATTACAAAGACGGACAAATTGAAAGTTTTAGTCTTATTTTTAAGATATTGATTTCCTATGTTTGGAGATATCAATTTAATATTTAGGAATGTTTAAATAATAAAAACAAAGTGAAAAATAACAATAGTGCTATAATATTTAGATTATAATCAAATAAATTAAAAATTGTACTAAATATTTCAGAGCTAAAGTTATTTAAATTATCAATTAAATAAATATACATACCATTTATTCGGATGATTCTGTAATAATTCATTAAAATTGAAATTTATTTAATCAAATTTCTTTTAAGTTGGGGTTTGATACATTCCTAAATCAGATATCTCCAATCAGTTTTTCATTCTTTTTACCAAATATATAAAAGTAAATCATTTGCATTTTATTACAACAGAATTTTCTTTTATTAAATTTTGAATTTTCATGAATTTTTATAAAGCTCATGTTTTTAAAAAGTTTCACAATCAATAAAACTTTAAAATTATCTAATTTAAATTTAATAAACTTAATATAGATGAACATGAAAATTAAAATAAATTTTTAATTAAAAAATAATCTTCTACAAACTAGAATTATATAAAATTCATTAATATTTAATCAATAGCTTTTGATCAACCTTCACTATTTAATTAATCATTTATATACAGAAAAGAAATAAATTTATATTTTTAGAGCATTAAACCCAAACAGTCTTATGAAATCTTTAATATATTGAATCAGTTTTTTCAAAATTTGAGTGTCATATAATTTTCCATTCCTCATTTACAAGAATTTTGCCCTTCTAAATGAAGTAATTCCCTTAAAGGATTCTATACAAATTTATGTACTATTTATCTGTTTAGAGATTGAATTGTATATTCTCTAATTATTATATCATACTTCATCTATTTATCTTATAGAAAGATATTAAGCCATTTATAATTTAACACTTTCGAATCATCTAAACAGATTATTAATTTCTTTATGCTCTAATTAAACTTATTATTCTTGAAAATCAAATTAAATAATAATATTTACATTGTTCAATAATGAATAACTTTTCAAGGACAAGTATANAAGACGGACAAATTGAAAGTTTTAGTCTTATTTTTAAGATATTGATTTCCTATGTTTGGAGATATCAATTTAATATTTAGGAATGTTTAAATAATAAAAACAAAGTGAAAAATAACAATAGTGCTATAATATTTAGATTATAATCAAATAAATTAAAAATTGTACTAAATATTTCAGAGCTAAAGTTATTTAAATTATCAATTAAATAAATATACATACCATTTATTCGGATGATTCTGTAATAATTCATTAAAATTGAAATTTATTTAATCAAATTTCTTTTAAGTTGGGGTTTGATACATTCCTAAATCAGATATCTCCAATCAGTTTTTCATTCTTTTTACCAAATATATAAAAGTAAATCATTTGCATTTTATTACAACAGAATTTTCTTTTATTAAATTTTGAATTTTCATGAATTTTTATAAAGCTCATGTTTTTAAAAAGTTTCACAATCAATAAAACTTTAAAATTATCTAATTTAAATTTAATAAACTTAATATTTAATCAATAGCTTTTGATCAACCTTCACTATTTAATTAATCATTTATATACAGAAAAGAAATAAATTTATATTTTTAGAGCATTAAACCCAAACAGTCTTATGAAATCTTTAATATATTGAATCAGTTTTTTCAAAATTTGAGTGTCATATAATTTTCCATTCCTCATTTACAAGAATTTTGCCCTTCTAAATGAAGTAATTCCCTTAAAGGATTCTATACAAATTTATGTACTATTTATCTGTTTAGAGATTGAATTGTATATTCTCTAATTATTATATCATACTTCATCTATTTATCTTATAGAAAGATATTAAGCCATTTATAATTTAACACTTTCGAATCATCTAAACAGATTATTAATTTCTTTATGCTCTAATTAAACTTATTATTCTTGAAAATCAAATTAAATAATAATATTTACATTGTTCAATAATGAATAACTTTTCAAGGACAAGTATACACTCTACCTTCATAAAATTTAGATCACTTCGAAATAAATGTTGATGAATGAATTAATATGTTTTTGCATATTTTATATTTATTTTCTATAGGAATGTTAAAATAAAAAAGCAATTAGTAGTTTTTCAAATTGGAGCATTCTATAAAATTATTCAATATTTCAGAATATAATTCCTCTTATATTTTATTTACTTTAATCTAATTTTAAAATTATTGATATATTTAATAAAATAGAGCTTGTATATTTGAATAATCTAAAATAACAATATATAAAATCAAATATCCAATAGCAAAATTATTTTGGAATTTTTCGTAATTACTTTTATTATTTATTAAATGCTTAATTGGTTGTTTTTTTATTTTAGAAATAAACCAAAATTATCTATTAATTTACCTAAATTGAATATCATGATAAAAAATTTAAATCAAGTGAATTATAGTTGGAATTTAATACTTTTTTTAAATGATCAAATAGAGATTTTTTGAATAAAAATTTTAAAATGAAACTCAATATTTTAATGAATGTTAAAATACTAATCATTCCGAGCATGTCAACGATAATATTATATTCACTAAAATAAAAATGAACTAATTAATAAATATTGAAAAATTTATGATAATCAAGGAATTAATTGAAAAAATCTCAAAACACCTTTTTAATTGTTACTTATAGATTTTGTTTAATTAATCAGGAAATTCAAATATTAGAAAACATGACTCAATAACCTTTTAAATAAAGACTATTTGAATTGTAAATTATACATTTTTCTTTTACAATAAAAGGTAAAATACTTATTAATTTACCCTTATTTTTTAGTTCAAATATTTGGTATTACATTACATTAATTTTTTAATTTTGGATGCTTTTTCTTGTTATGAATATGCTCTTCCTATTTGCATTAATCCCATCACATCTAAAAAAAAGGTACTCATCATTTTAATTTAACATTGCTCATTCACTAAAGCTGCTGAACAGGATTCTAAAAATATTTGAATGAGGAAACAAATAAGAAGCCAAACTATTTTATTTGGCTGTGTTAGAATAAGAATTTAATTACAAGATTTCATACAGAAATAATTATTAGAGTCATTAATTATAATAATATTATAAATATCATTTTGGTAAATCAAATAGTTTATTCAATTAATCTTTCATTTTCTATTATCAGTTTTATATCATATGAAATCTTAAGAAGAGTAAATAAAATAAATGATAAAGTCATAGAAGTACTTGTTTTGTTTTTTCTTCAACATTTTGTGATTAATTTAATTCATTATTCTTTTTAGATCTAAATTTGAGATAATATTTTATATGAATTTACTGAAAAACAATTCCATGACTTGAAGTTTGAATTAATTTAATGTAATTTTTATTTAATAATTGATGTTAAATTAATGAAAAATTATACTCTTAAACATCATTTATTTATTTATTTGAATTGATGTTTGATTAAATTAGAAATAATTAGTGAGATTTTTTTTGTATTAATATGATTCTAAAAAATGTCTTAAATCAGCAGCAACATTGTGTGGAAATTCAAAATCTTTTTAAGAAATATTTAAGAGAGTCACTGATTAATTCGCAGCTATGTTTAGAAGAAAAGCATTCGTAAATTGGTATACAAATGAAGGTAATCATTAATCTGTAAATTAATTAAGGAATGGATGAAATGGAACTCGTTGAAGCTGAATCTTAATGATTTAATTTCTGAATATTAATAATATTAAGATTCCAAAGATGAAGTAGAAGGTGATTAATCATTATCTTGGTGAAGTATTTGCACTTTAATATTATTGTATTTAATTCTTTAAAATAAATCATACTTAAATGAAATAATATATATTATCCAAGAAATGAAATTGCTAATATTCTCATATCCCATAATATTTTCATCATAAATTATTTAATTGAATTGAGTATAATTACATTTATTAAATATACTATTTGAAAATAACTGCTTTAATTTCAATTTTTGAGTTTATTTATTAATTAATTCCAAAATGCTAGATAACTCAATTATAAATGTTAATATTCCCATTTTTATTTATAGATATTAAATAATTTAATTTTACATTTACATGTTCATTCATTTAATATTTTTAAATGCATGATCAAAATTGATTAAATTATTTCTTATATTTAAGTATAAAGATTAAGAAAAGATAATTAATGAATCTCAAATTAATTATTTTTCTATTACCCAAAAATTTGAATACAAGAATAGATCATCCTAAAAGGATATCTTAATCTAATTTTCTCATTAATATATTAATTTAAATTGTAACTGGATTATTTATTACAAATAATATTTTATTTATTTTATGATAATCCAATTAGTTATTCTTCAAGTTGTGAAAGCGTAAATAAAAGTTTGGATAACTATTATATGCTTTTATTAATAATATGAGTGAATTGGAATGTATATTAATCATTCTTAAATAGCTTGGTTTATTGCAGGAGCAAGTACTCAAAATTATATAACAGTTTGTTCTGAATAAAAAATCCTTGGAGGATATTATAAATTTGGGATGGGAACAGCAGTATAATAGTTATTTATGTCCCACCTCATTATTAAATTAGAATTAAATTAACAAAATTTCTGGAAGTAAATAGAATAATTATCAATTTATAGATTAGGTTGTTGGGAAAACAAAATATTTTATATAATAATTGATGAATTAGTTTAGAAATATTAGTTTGGTTGTTTGTAAGGTACCAGTTAATGTGGATACAGTTACAGAGATTTATAATCTCCAATTAAAATTATAATTCCACATTAATCGGAAACCTTAGTTATTCTTTTTAAGACTAATGTAAATAATTGGAAGAATGTAAATATTAACAATTATAAAAGGAATTTTGGAGTGTTAATAACTTCTATCTTGATATATTAAAATGTGTTCCTGAAAGCCTTCTTTGCAATGAGAATTCATCTGATATATGTAAACCAAGAATGGATATCCCAATTGAATTGATTGGATTTCTAAAGTAAATGTTGATGTATGGCTATTAAAAAATACTCTGCCTGCTAAATCAACTATTTGTCTTGATAAAATATCTCTAATTGGAGGATATCAGATTTTAGGGAGATCAGAATTATTTATAACTAAAATTAAACTCGATAATCATTATTTACTAAAATTTTAAGTGAAAATATGGCTAATTGATATTCAAGGGCTAGCTAACTCTGTTAATATTTCTATGGATGGAATTCCTTATGAACTTAATATTAATTCTGTTAATTCAATTTCATGATGTGCTTCTCTCCATAAGAAGGTATTTAAAATATTGATTAGAACTTTACTCATTAGAATCCTGAGATTGAAAATTAATTTATTCCTACACATTAGTTGGATCAAATTCCTTTAGGCATTATTTAACTTTAATTTATTTATCTTTAAATGCCATTCGTATTGTCTTAAATAATTGGGACTCTTAAAAATGACTGTTAGATTTGTGCTGAAGAATATATATAAGAAGATGTAGAATGTAATAGAAGTATGAATTGAATTATTTTTAGTCTAAAACCCTCTTAAAATTACTAAAGCATAAACCTAATACATTCTAAATTAATCTATATCTATCCCCTTTTATTTAAACTGTAATAAATTGAATTTCCAAACAATTTAGGATTTTTTCAAAAAGAGATAAAAATAAAATTGAACTTGAAGTTAAAGTCTAATGCGTCGATAACTGCTTAATTAAAACTTTAATGTATTTCTGCCATTCCTGTGAAGGTTAAAATATATATTCTTAAACTTTTTAATTTAAGGCAACTTAGTAAACAATAATTTACTTTTATATTTAATTACAAAAATTAAATGTAACAGAAAAAGAAGAATATTTAATTTCAATTATAAACAATTTAGCAAAAATTTTTTGTACAACAAGAATCAATACTACAAACAATACATACTTAAATAAGATATGGGAACATAATTGAAATTTCCTATTGAATAATTGAATAATTCATTTTTTCATACAATAATTATTATTTTGGTTTTTATTTACAGGAATTTATAACAATAGAGAAACAAAATAAATCTAAATATTGTTATTCTTAATTTATAATTTATTATATATTTCTGTCAGCTTTGGAACTTGATGACTAAAAATTAAGATTTTTTAAATTCCATTCTGTTTATATTATAAGACTAAAAATTATTAATTACTCAAAATTAAAGGTAATTCAAGAGTAATGTAGTCTTAGTTTTACATTCATATTAAAAAAAATAGATCATTAAGTTTTATGAAATTTCTCTTTTCTAAAATATTAAAATTTTAAAACCAGCAAAAATATAAAGAATGTCATAAATTATGAATTAATAATATTTAGATATATTAAGCTTCTTTACTATTATTTTTCATCATCGTAAAATATAATATTTTTATCTATGATTTAATTAGATTTTTTCAAACTGCTATTATCAGATTAATATAATAATTTTTCATTATTGATGAATAAATTAAAAGGCCATAAATAAAGCAAATATATTTTATATAACCCTTAATGATATCGAAAAGTGAAAGAATATATAGTGCTATTAATTGTGGTAATTTGAATTGCTCTTCTGATGAAAATACTCCAATTTTCATAAATAAATAATTATCAATAACCTTATTCATTAAAATAACCTTAATCTATTGGATTAGCAAAGTCTTAATAATCCTTTATTAGAGCAGGTAAATCTTCCCTTGCTGAACTAAGCTCTCCTGAATTCTAATCTTCATTTACAAACCAAAGAACAAAAGCTCTTCTTGCAAATAATCGATCAAATTTAGAACCTAAATTCTCAAGTTGTTTGGATATCGCAGCATCATTTCATTACAAGCAGATATTTGAATTATTATCAAACTAATATTAAATATTTGATATCACATATTCATTTCGTCTAAATTAGATATTATGTATTCCTTAAGATCTATTTATTAGAGTTTTTGATAAATTAGAAGGATTTTTTGAAATTAAATAAATTTGAATCTTTCTTTATTAAGAGTTTTAATAATTCATTTCCTCTTTTATATCCTTATCCTTTGTTGATCTTAACAATCCATATAATGGGATTAGGAAAAAAGGCGTAAGGATTAGAACACATATTTGAAAAAATCATATCATTACAATATTTGTATGTCTTTTTATACTGTGTATATCCTAAGCATTACATTATTTAATAAAGTATAATTTACGAAATCCAATCCTATCTAATTATCACTAGCATTATAGATTGGTTAATTATAAAATACAACAACAGAATTAAACTATTCAGTCATCATATAAGTTAAAAAGACAGCATTAAAACTATCGATTAAGTTAAAAGATATTTATGAGGAAGGATATAATACAAAAATATTTTTTTAATTTTCTTTCCATTATCCTGTGTTAATCTTTCTATAAGAAATCATGTAAAACCTGATCCAGTCCCTCCAATTATTGATGAAATTATTAAAAATTGATCTAAATAATCTATTTTTCATCTTCCTTTAGAATAGATTCTAAACAATCATATATCAGATTTCTGCCCAAGGTATAACCTCTATAATAGTTATTAGAGGCATCTTCTTTACCAGTAATAAATTATCTTTTTTAAAATGATTTTATTTATTTCTTAACTTCATTAATCATTCGATTATCCAAATCAATTAAAAACAATTATTAGATAATCATCATAGTTGATTCATTGTGTCCTTTTATTCTTTTTAATATAATTTCCATAAGATATCTCCAATCATTACACTTGCTCCTCCTAAATGAAGATGAATAGATAAATGATTAGAAATTATTCTCATTTTCTTTTTTTATTAAATTGGTACTTGTTTAAAAAGTGATAGATTTTGACATAATTGTAAAATATCTTAATCAAAGCAATAGTTTTAGTTTGAAAATTCCATAAGATATTCGAAAAGGTCAATATAAAGAGGATCTTTGCAACTTCCTTAGCAAGGAACATATTGCTAAATAATTAAAAAATTTTGTTAAAGGGTATTTGTCGAAAAAACCATGCTTTGGCATTAATAAATTGCAAATTTCAAACATCAAGTGTGCTGAAAAAATTTATCACTCATTAAATCTTAAATTCTTTTATAATTTTTCAAGGTTTTAATGTTGATCATTAAAGGCGATCAATCAGGATTTACAATAGCTCTTGGCATATCATTAAGCCTCTAATTATGTGTAGTCTTGCAAAAATGACAACAGACTATTTTCAAATATTTTATTCTGTGATATTTTTTATGGTTATCACATTTCTTTTTTTGCACATCTCTAAAAGTTATAAGTGGAGAGAAAATTTACATGTCCAAAAAGTATAACTAATTATATCTTAAATAATAAAACAAAAAAAAATGAATTGGGTAGGGGGAAAAGCATAAAATATTTTTATAACAAATTCAATATTTCCACTATAAAATGAAATATAAAAATTAAGCTAGATTTTGGAAGTCCCAATATAAAATAAAAAATACATCTATTAATGTATATGCCAAAAAATATTATTTAAATTATCAAGATATTATGCAATTTTCTTTGTTCTTTTATTTTAATTAGTTATCTAAATAGCAACTACCTTTTGATTTGAACAATGATCTTAGGTCGTATCCTTCATCATTTATAAAATCTCCATTCAAGATTAAAGCTCCTTTTGCTTCAAATAATGGCGTTTGAAATATTCGCAGAATTGTAATTTAGTTAGATTCTAAAAAATAATAATAAAATAATTACCTGGTAGAGAATTATTTTAAATTAGTGGTGCTTTAAATTATGCAAGAATTTAATTGTAGTTTTTATCGGAGTTTACATCCCAAAGAAGGATAGAGTTATCACCACTACCAGAAGCTAATGTATTTCCATCAGGAGAAATTTAGACAGACAACACCCTTCCACTGTGACCATCTAACTTATTCAATTCATTGATTTTAATTTACTTCCATTAACAATTGAACAGTTAAGCACCATTAAAATTGACTCCATTAATATCTACATTGTCAAATTCTGATCCATTAAAATTACATCTGACTAAGTTTCCACCAATAATAGATGTATTCTTGATTCCGATATTCTCAAATGATTGGTTACTGATATCTACCTTCATGCCTACTAAAAAATTTAATGCATTCGATCCAACTTTAAATAAATTTACTGTAAATGCTTGGGAGGAGTACTAAAAACTTGATGAAATCTATTATCCTCTTATTTTCCTTCATCCTCTTCATTAGATCATATCTCGCCATTTCATAAGTTTCTGAAGAATAATCTTCTTAATTAAATTTATGATCTTATAAATTTCTCAAGACATTTGTGATCTTCGTTATTTATTTTTTTACATCCTTTAGATTTTCTTGCTTATTGATTAAAGATTCATAAAAGTGTTGATTATTTGCCTAAGAAAGGAATCCAAGGATGTCTTAAACTTTCTCTTTTCTAAGAATTTCAAGAATCTTCTAATAGAGAAATTCATCTATATCTTGGATGTCAGTTAAAATTTCAAATAGATCATCTCACATTTAATATTCTTCTTCATCACTAGAGATACTGTTTAAATACTTACTTATATAATGATTGAATTTATTCAATTCCATTCTTGGACTTTTCTATAAAAGCTTAAATATGCTGGCCCCACCAATTCTTCTTCTTATCCTATTCTATCATATAAGAATTTTTCTCAGCATTCCAATCATTTAAAGTTGATCCTTCTTCAATGTTGACTAATTTTTCTATATCAATGTAGGATGATTCAACTAGATTTATATTTTTGTTGATGATATTAATGAATGATTAGTTTTCCTTTTCAATCCAATCGTATACTGATTTGATTGATTGTGACAACTCCTCCAAAATTTTCTTCAGCATTTATTCGGTTTGAGAGAGTAAGACTTTAAAGGCCATTCTCTATTAGGTTAACTTAGATATCTCGTCAAGCTTAGTGTCTTTTAATTTCTACATAGCCATTTTTTGAAATTTTTCAATTGGAACTGTTTTTATAATATCCACTCCATGGTCATAAAGGCATTGAACACAAAGTTTCCTTTAGCACTTGTGAGGAGCTATGCATATCATAGATATTGGACTTTTGAAATGATAAGTGCAATTCATTATTTTAAATATTGAATTTCTATTACTCAAACTTTAAGTTATATACTGTAAAATCAATAAATTTAACTTATGTATTTAGTTTAAACTTTGTGAATATTCGGAATTAATAGTAATAGAGTTAAAATATGCTAATGAGAATTCAATTCAACATATGCATAGCTTGATTTTTAAATATCATGATTTTTATATGAATAATTTAATTTATACTTTATTTGAGTGATATAATAATTAATTAATTTGTTTTGCAATCCTAATTTTATAGCATATATATTTGTAATTTTGAGCAATTTTTAGAGATTAGAATAGTCTGTTTTTTGTAATTAGATTATTTGATGTAGAGGTATAGTAAAGATGATCATTCTTTTTTTTTTTAATAAAGAAAATTAGATACAGGATAATTAGAGTATTTAAGATTTTATATTCATAAGTAATCCTAAGTATTACCCTTCTAATATAGGACTATGTCTCCAAAGGATAGTCAAATATTTAGGTGGTCATACCTAATATGAAGTTTCACTTGTTGGACCTCCTCCACTTTTATTTCCACATTTTCGTGAGAACCTAGAAAATATACAAATCTAAGGTGTTGACTGTAGTGCTTATAATGATACCCTCTCCTAAGCGTGATACCCATTAAATAAATATTATGAATATTTAAAAAAAAAAATGGCTGGGTGAATTTTATCAATAGTGTTTTTTAGAAAAAAGTAAGAATAATAATTTTTTTATAAAAGTAATAAATAACTAATATAGACATCCAAAACTAGCAACTAAAACAAAAAAATACAAAACATCATCTCCTATACGGTAGACTCTTATTCAACCTTTTGGTCATATTACTCTGCTAAAGTATAGACAACCCAATACAAACAAACAAAAAAGCTCTAATATATAATTGATATTCCTTACACAAATCCATATATTTTTCATTATAAAATTAGGTACTCTTAGATACTCCTGAGAAGAAGATCTAGAAATTATCTAACTCCTTTAGGAATATTAACTTACCTATTAATTTCAATAATAGAAGACAAAACAAAATAGTAAATATTTAGTAAATAAAATATCTATAATAATATTATGAATGAGAGGATTACAATAGTTATTTTGTTAAATTGTTGATTCCAAAAATTAATTATTTGTTTGTTATAAAATGAAAATAAATAATATTGAATAATTTATTTATTATTTTTGCACAACCCATTATATGATCGGTTCTGCGAGAAATGATTTTAGATACCTATTACCCCATAAATGCTTTATAATATGACAGACTTATTGCAAATAATTAATCATAAGGGGAGTGAAGAAAATAAGAATCAGAAGAAAAAATTACTTAATTAATCACTTTTTATAGAGGAAATAAATTTAATGACTATTTACTTAATTCTTGTCTTGTATTTAAGAAATAAGTTCTTATGATTAAAGTAGAAGTGAATATGAATCTGTAAAGATAATGTTCTAATCATTAATTATTAGACGATCAAAGGATTAATTATATAATTAAAATATTTAGCTGCAGCTTATTTTTGATTTGTTAGTTTGGCATATCTTATTTTCATTTTTGTCGAAAATAATAATCAATTANTATACAATAAGGATTACAAGAAAAAATATGCATTAAATAATGATATAACTCTTTAATTTAAATTATTCATATAAAATTAATTATTTCAGATTTCAATAGCTAATTTTACCTCTATTAAAATCAATTCCAAATCTACACAAAATTTGAATTTTACCTTTACAAATTTACATAAGATATTTTTATGGATTTTCCTTATATAAATTATAGTTCGAATAATAGAAATTCCATATTAAAAATAAAAAGAAAATGCAGGGCCCTTATTAACAGAAGGAAACTCTAGCAGACATCCTTTATTTAATTGAAGATGTAGATGAAGAAATCTTTGGGGTTATATTAGTAATATTAAGAAAGGAAAAAGCGTAAGACTGCATTAGATTTCTATCAGACATGGGGAATCAGAGACAATTAGAATCATTAATTTTGCAACAACTAGAGAACTTCACCAAAACAGATACAGAATGGAAATTGTCTGTTGTTAGAAAAGACTTGAAAAAAACTAACGATGTCCTAAAAGAATTAAAAGACCATGACTTTAATAAGTTAGACTATTCCTCTGAAGAAATTGAAGAATCTGCATTAAGTCTTATTAAAAGAATCAAGGATAATAAAAAGATCATTGCATTTCTATTATTTGTAGTTCACCTCACCTCCATTGATGAAACTTTAATATAGGGTGGGTCTAATTCATTACATTTATTAGTCTTAATGCAGGTAAACCTTAGTAAAAAAAATTTTGAAAATATAAAAATCTATAATACTTCTTTAGTGGGAGCTAATTTTGTTAGGTGTAATTTTAGTGGATCCTAATTTAATAATGTCAACATAAGTGGAATAAATCTGAATGGAGCAATATTATTTAATTGTAAATGGAGAGGCTTAAGAATCTCTGAATTAAAGAAATTACATGGTCATAGTGATTAAGTAAGATCAATTTGTTTCTCTCCTGATGGAAGTACATTAGCTTCTGGTAGTGATGATAAGTCTATTCGTCTTTGGGATGTCAAAACCGGATAATAAAAAGCCATATTCGATGATCATATTAAAAATGTTAATTCAGTCTGTTTCTCTCCTGATGGAAATACATTAGCTTCTGGTAGTGAGGATAGCTCTATCCGTATTTGGGATGTAAAGACAGGATAATAAAAAGCCAAATTGGAGGGTTATAGTAATGCTGTCTACTCAGTCAGTTTCTCTCCTGATGGAAATACATTAGCTTCTGGAAGTGAAAATGGGTCTGTCCAATTATGGGATACTAAAACAAGAAAGAAAAGAGCCAAATTAGATGGTCATGCATATTATGTCTACTCAGTCTGTTTTTCTCCTGATGGAAATACATTAGCTTCTGGTAGTTTAGATTACTCTATCCGTTTATGGGATGTCAAAACAGGATAATAAAAAGCCAAATTGGATAATCATACTAATACTGTCTACTCAGTCTGTTTTTCTCCTGATGGAAATACATTAGCTTCTGGTAGTAGAGATAACTCTATCCGTTTATGGGATGTCAAAACAGGATAATAAAAAGCCAAAATGGAGGGTCATAGTAATATTGTCTAATCAGTCTGTTTCTCTCCTGATGGAAATACATTAGCTTCTGGTATTTATTAAGATATTGGTCTATGGGATGTAAAAACAGGATACTAAAAAGCCATATTGGAGGGTCATGATGATTATGCTATTTAAGTCTGTTTCTCTCCTGACGGAAATACATTAGCTTCTGGTAGTAGTGATAAATCTATCCTACTTTGGGATGTCGAAACAGGATAATAAAAAGCAATATTCGATGGTCATACTAAAGATGTTAATTTAGTCTATTTCTCTCCTGATGGAAATACATTAGCCACTGGTAGTGATGATAACTCTACCCGTATTTGGGATGTAAAGACAGGATAAGAAATTGAATCCTCTGATAAAAATTACAAAGATCTTTAAATATAATATAGGATTCCATTCCAAAAATATAATCCTCTTTCAGAAGGTTGTATTTATCTTTTTAATATTATTAGGCTCCAATTACATTATTGTGCTTCGTATATCCCAAGAGGCAATATTTTAAGCTAAAGGAGCTTTTATTCTAAAAGGAGAATATATTGATCAATCAGGGATTGACTTAAAGACATTTTTGAAACAAAAAGGAAGTTGCTTTTTAGAAGATTTAAAGCTAAAGTGAATTTGATTATTATCAAAAACAATACAAATAGAATTACAATAAATTTCTAATATTTTTTCATTATGCCCTTATATGTTCTGCTAATTTCCGCTTCTTAAGATAGGTAAGTATATATTTTCCTAAATTTTATTGTATTTTAATTAAATGAATTATGATATCATAAATAATGTTAACAATTAATATTAATAGATTTCAAAGTAAATTAATATTATGTAAGGTTTACTTAATTTATAATTATTTATCAAAGGGATTGGTGTTAAAGTTATCAAATTGAAGAAAAAGAAAAAGAAGGGATCAATGATTAATGATCGGTATTTTTACACATATGCATAATTCATAATTATAGTTTATAGATAAATGAATATAAACCGAAACAGATCAATGATAGCGTTAAATTAGGAATAAGTAACTCAATAGTTATTAATTTTTATTAATCTTTAATAATTTAGGTTTAAAAATATTTCTAAATTCTTAATTAAACAAAAATCAATGAAAAAAATGATTTAGTGGAACAATGGCTTGTTATTATTTTTGCGTAATTTAGAAATTTTCTTAATTAAAAGTATACATAATTTATCTCAAATAATTTCTATTGAGAATACTTAAATTATTTTTAACCTTCAATCATCCTTAATTTATACTATTTAACATTAAAATTTCAGAAAAGCTCTGCCCTAATGCAAGTCACCGATAGAATTGCCAAACTCTGTTTAAAGTTGTAATCATCCCCTAGCAGATAGACTTTTTACTACTACCACTTGCTAATTTCTTTCTATTAGATGAGAAACACACTGATTTAAGATAATATATATGACCATCAAATTGGGCTTTTTATTATATGGCTTTAAAATCACATCGACATATATACTTTCATAAATCCCAGAACCAATGCATGAATATGATTATCTAACTAAGAATTCATTTAAGAAATATTTTTTTTATAATAATTTATATTTATTTTATAATTTTGAATACTAGCAGTATTGAATCTAATTTTATCAAAAAAACCTTCTTTATTTTTTAAAAATTATCTCAAATTGTTGATCATTTATTTATTTTTCTTAGGTATTAATGCTCTTTTTGTGTTTTAAAAATAAAATTTGAATTGTTATATTATTCTGATATTTATAATATTATTATAATATTTATATAAAAAAAAACTAATTATGAATTTTAAATATGAGAGTCGTTTTTATTCAAATAAACCTTAACTTCTGAAAATTAAACTTTATATTAAAAATTATAATTTTACCTTCAAAAATAAATGGAAGATAATTTTTAATAATTACTAAATTAAATGTTAATTATTATGACTGTTTATAATAAAAATTAAATTAAATAATAATTTAATATATACTTTTTTATAATTCCAAAATTAAAAGATAAATAATTTTCTAAATTATGACTTTTTTATTTGAAAATTAAAGAATGTAATAAGTTAAAGTATGCTTATTTCATATTTCCAAAATTAATTGTTAATTTGTTAAATTATTACTAACTATTTAAAATATAAATATATATCAAATAATAAGTTAATAATAGCTTTTAATAATGGAAAAATTAATTTTTAATTGTTATTAATTTAAACAAATTTTAAGTTTTTTTTTGGCACTATCTATTGAATATTTTTTTTAAATTAATATTTTTTTATTAACTAATTAAAAGGATCCTGTTTATTAATTATCGTCCATTTTTTATCCTATATTTGTTGCTGTTTTTTTCTAGAGAACATAAACGTTCATAGCAATCTAACAACCTTAGTGAATTTTTATTTTATTAATAATGACCTCAATTTTCATTAACTCATCTATCAATCAATATTATATTTTACCCAGCCCCAACAATACTTTTCATGTTTACAAGTTTCTTTGGTTGAACAAATAAAAATGAATTTAGAGAGTAAATCCTAATTAATTCTGTATTCTTTCATTTTAAGAAAAACTTTCAAATACTTTTGGAAATTTCGTAACACAGATATTCAAAATTATTTAAGATTAGATAGCCTAATATAATTGAAGAAAAATACATTGTTATTTTAATTTCTAATGAATTCTTCCTTAGTTTCAAAAAAAGAGAATTGAAATAAGGAGAATTTATTAGTTGCCATTTCATTTATCAACAACAGAAAAAGAACGTTTTTGATATTCATTTATTATCTTTCATTGATAAGTCGAGTCAACCCTAAAGTTCTTCTAATATTTTGTCGTTTTCTAACTCTTAAACTTATTTTGTTAACATAATTATCTTTTCTTTTTTCAAATAATATAGTGTTGGATTTTAAAATAATTATTTTTGAAATATTTCACTTATAAATAAAACTAATTAATGAATAATGTAAATGTCCTCCTCATATTGATAATTTATTGCTAATTTATTTTGATGTAGACAAAAAAAATTTTAATTAATTATCGGAATCCAATTTGGATATTCAATGATAAAATACATTTTAAAATTAGATTGGCAATTTTTTTAATTTAATTAATAAATGAACTAAAGTTCAATGAAAAATAAATAATCATTGATTTTCCATAATCTATCATTAATTACAAAATGGTTTTCTCAAATTTTATTTATTGATGGCTTATATGAACTATTGTTTAAATTCACAAATTTAATGAGTTGGAATATTATGTTCCTTTCAAGCATGTTTAATTTACCATTCCAAATTATATTGTCATTCTACATAGACATCAAATAATAAATGTAACATTCCCGTAAAAAAAATTTATTTATTGGCAAAATACCAATAATAATTATTTTTAAACCATAATCTTCTATATAATTTCTAGCACATATGATGATTCAACCTATAATTTAAAATATTATTTGCTTACTTCATTAAAAATGGAAGAATTGATAGCTAAATTTTTTAATTATATCCATAAGAATCTTCAATCTTGTAAAAAAGTGCTTCAATCTCTTTTGGAGTGTTTGAGGATAACAAAAATAGTATTTGGCTCTCCGATTTATAAAGCATAATTGTATCCACAAAGACCTGGTTATAGAATGAATTCAAAAATCGACATGCAACCATTCCTTTTTTCTTTATTTTGCAAAGTTGAAAATTTTGTCAATCTAAAAATCAAATTCCTTATTATACTAACAAACTAAATATTTCTAGATAATAATTCTTTAATTATCTTGATTTTCAATAAAATTATATTTTGATTTGCATCTTTAGAAACAAGAAAAAATAGCATAAAAATTTTATTTTCTTTTCAAATTTGACTCTTGTTTAATATATCTATCAAAAAATAATTGTTATTTAAAAAAGAATTTGATGTTTAAGTGAATAACAATGTTTAATTCTTTGAATTCTCAATTAATTTAAGTTTATAATTTAGATGGTTCATCAAATTTTACCATTTAATATTGAATATCCAATTAATATCTTTAATGTAAGTTTTCCCTACACAAACAAAAGAAAATGAAAATCTTAACTCTGAAAGCAAGTAAGAAATAGATTATTAGATATATAGTCAAATGCATCAACTCTCTATATTGGCCTCTAATCATAATAAGAAACTGAAGAAGAAATCAAATCATTCTTTCATTTAAGTTTCATTATGATTGCTATTCAAAGTGGTAACTTGGCGCTTGGTTACTCATTAGCATATTTATCAATTTCATTCATAACACTATTTTCACAAATGTAGGTTAATATATAAATAAAAGTACATTACAAGGTTCTGAAATAGAAGAATAATCGTTATTTAGTGCTTTATTATCAAAAAGTCAAATTGTCGTGCTATTATGACATAGCCACTGCTTAAAAATACAACAAGATGGAGGAAGATATTTATTTGTTACTTTTTAGGTTTAGGTTACATTGAAGATTCTTTAAATGGTTCTGATTCTAATAATTGGAAATTAATTTTTGCTTTTCCTGCTTTATTACTCTTTTGTAGATCTTGTATACTTAAATTTCGATATAAAATGGATAGTCCCATAACTCTAATTAAAAGGGATAAATATTTATTAGCAAAACAAATATTAAGAAAAATTTATCAACTTTAATATGAAGATTAAGCATTTTTAGAATGTAAATTAAGAGTTCAAAAAAAATCGGATTAGGAGAAGGGATACTCAGTATTTTCACTAAAAAGCATAGAACAACAGTAATAATTGGCTGCGTACTTTGTTTTCGTTTATACTTGGTCAGGATTATTTGCATTATTTTCTTACAGTTTATAAATATTTTCAGAAATGTCAAAGGATGATACTACATTGAATGCAATGTTTAATTTAATTATTGGAATAGTATAATTTGCTCCTGCCTTAATTTCTAAATATGTTTATGGAAGATGGGATAAGAGATCATTGTTATTATTTAGACTTACTGTCCTGATTTTATGTTAGATACTTATTATTGGACTTAGTTATTCAGAAGAACGTTATTTGATTTATTTTCATTTGTATCTTTTCATTCTAATATGTATTGAATTTGGAACCAATTACTTGGGTAATGTCTTTAATTAATTAAGTCGATGATTCTGGAAATCAATTCTAGTGAAGGAACTTACTTCTGTTTTGTTACTTTATATGCTTGGAAATTGTTATTCTCTTATATTTTTCAATTGATGTTCGATACTTTGGCTCTGAGTGGATCATTTATTTTTTTCTTAAATCTCACATTATTGTCAACAACTTTTTTTTATTTTTTGTTAAAGAAATAAAAGGATTAACACATAAAGAAGAAGTTGTGAGATTAAAATTTTATTTTCAATTATGCATTTAAAAAATAATATTAATAATCTTTCTTCATAAAGTTCCATTCTATATAATTAATAATTACTCAAATTTAATATTAAATAAAAATTTGATTATCCATAATATCTTAGAATAGATGAAGATGAAAATGATAAATATATTTTCAAAAATACTATACCTACATAATTAAATAAATTTAAATAATAAATTCTAATAATAGTTTTAATTCATTATAACAGAGTATACTATATAAAAAAATTGTGTATTCTAAAAATAATTATTTAAATCGATTGAAAATTTTTGAGAATATCTTAAATACAATTAAAAAGATGCTAATTCACCTTCTTTTAGGCTTTTTTGTATTATTAATTTATGTTTTTGTTCTTAAACCATTGTGATCAATGTTTAAGCTGAAGATGTAGTTTTGATAGGATTGCAAAATGTCATATCACTTCTTAGAAGGAGAGATATTGAAGTGATTGAATGAGATGGAGATTACTCATAACATTTTCAAATATGAAAAGGAGTAATATAAAAGACACTCTTGTTTCTAACTTTCTTTGGAATATAAGAATAAGTAAGAGTCTTTCATATTATTAGCGATTTAATGAAAAAAAGCTTGATTGTTGAAATGAATGGTCACTGGAAGACTTAAAGAACTCTTTTAGCAGGAATATTTGAATTCCTAAAACTAAAAAATAGGTTGCCAATAATA